ACAAACTTGCTGAACATGCAACAATTATCTTCGAAATAAATTGGATTTGGTCCTTATTATACGTATTTTATAAAGAAAAAGGATGTTAAAACAGAATGATCATCATGACTTATTGTAATGTATAACAGCAAGACGCTCAAACTCATTTATCGCGTAAAAAAATGTTAATTAAAAGATGCACACTAACGTGTACTATAATATACTTTGTGTAATAAAAAGTTAAATGTCGTTGAAAATGATTTAAATTTCTTACTTTTAACATTTCTCTTACTCTATATTGAAGATTTAATTATGAATTAATATTTTTAAGAAATATACATGCGCGCGCGCGTTTATGTGCGCACGCGCGAGTGCGTGTGTATGCATGATGTAAAAGTAATCGCTACATAGTTGTTGACAAAACTTTACTTTATATTTTAAACTTATTAACCTGTGTTATAGAAAGATTTTATAAAGTGTAAGAACGCTCAAACGTTAAATGTCAGAAGATGGTATAAGGTTTAGATATACTAGGGATAACCACGTGTATTTGATGTACGGAGCATCATACACGTATACAGAATTCTTTTTACCTCGTAAGTCGTTATCGGCTTGCGTATAATCCAAAAGGTAGGAAAGAAGTGCCGCACTAAACTTCACTAGCATTGAAAAATTACCCATTTTGAGTCGACATAATTCTTATGTCGGTGCTAAAATCACAAAACTTCATGAAAACTCAACCTGCATACGATCACTTCACAACACATCCACCTCCAACCGCTGTCAGTAGTACACTGAAGAAACGAATACTACTAGAAAGTGGTAAGACTTTCTCGTTCCCTGACCAGTGACGGAAAGATTAAAACCATTGATATATGAGGGATAAGATTTACAACATTGCATGCTATCCTTTGAATTTCAAGATGGCGCATTGAGCGCGACTTATAATTTAGTACTGAATTAAAAATTTAGTTTAAAGTATATAAGAAAAAGAAACGTTATTTGACAAACATTAATTGGAAAATACAGCTCGCATAAACATACGTTTTCCATTACCTCGTAACCACATAGTAAATGTAATAATTCTTTTAGTTCATGTTTACGTTAGAGAATAATTTTACATTCATAATTAAACGTATTACTTAACAGTATATGTTAAAACATCATCAAAAATCTACAGAAGTCTTTCAAAGAAAAAATGTTTTACAACCACGTTTTATTGTTCACTTGTAGTTAGTACATAAATATGCAATCTAATAAATTATTACTAATTGCATAATTAAAGTTGGGTAATGCATATACGTTTTCATTATAATTCACTGACATCTGTACATAAAAAATGTTTAATTCCAAATTAACATGAAAAATGAAAAATAAAATAAATAATAGGTTCAATTCGTGATTTTTTATTTTTATTAAAAGAATATTATCCCGTAGTAACAAAACATGAAATATCTGCTGTTACACTTTACAGTTCTAGCATAAAACATTATAATTTAAATATCAAAAGTAGAAATACAAAACTAAAAATTAAAATAAACGTTTTAGCAATGTGCCCTATAAATAATTGAAATGCAACAATTGCTTACATAAATGTTTACAAATCTCTTTTGAAGATAAGTATTTTCAGAATAATTTCCATGCATAAAATAAAATGTTGCAAACTATTTAAATTTGATAAAATATTTGTAACATACATTATATAAAAAGATTTCACGTTATAAAAACTATATTTACAAAGATAAAAAATTTTTGTTTTTGTAGATTACTGATAAATTCATGAATTCTTAAAATTTGTGATATTATTATATTACATATAAAATAAAATAACTATTATTTTGGTAGACGCCGCGTGTAATATGATGTTTTGCTGCAATACATTAAAAAAACTGTAATTCATTGGTACCGCTACAATATAAAAGTGCGTGTTTTGGTTATGGATTTACTGTATTTAAATATATTTACAAAGGTTCGTTTCATTACGCTTTACAACAAAAAGAATTAAATATCATGGATTAAAATAATACTATCCCTTTTTTCATATAGGTAAAAATTTTTATTACGCAATCGAAATTTGCGTATTGTTTGTACGTAATTTTTCCTTTTATTTTGTTTTGATTAATGGAATCAATGTTGGTACAAGAATTTCCTAATGTTCCATACTTTTAAAAATTTTGTACATTCACGTAATATTTGAAGGGCTATTTCGAAAGTGTCTGTAGTTATTCCGACTTGTGACTTATATTATGTTTTATTATTTGTTATATATTACACAAAGATGTATACTTAGTTGTATTATTGTATCGATTTCAAATACATTCCGCGAATTTTGTTCTACTATTCGGTATTATTAAATAGATTAAGACCGATGTTTTTTTTCTTTTCTACCGATTATTAATATTGAACCGGATCACAGAAAATGTGTAAAACTATAATCAGTTTTCAGAAGGAATGAATAAGTAAGAAGATAGAGTGGATCAAACAGAAAAGAGAAATAAAAATCCTAAATTGAATTAGGCTTAAGATATACTGAGGCAAGAAATAAAAATACCTATTGATTTTTTAACATTACATAATTGTTTTTGCTGCTTTCAATTCGCGAACATAACTACCGTCACCTCTCTCTCTTATGACATATCACAATGCGATAGTTTTATGTTACAGATTTATATTTTATACAAATTACTTTGGCATTGTGATATTCAGGTCTTTTGCACATCATTACTTCGGTGTTTTAAATTATTTTCTTCATAATTTACAAGTCAAATGTATTCAGCATTTATACAAGACAGGTCATGAAACACTTTTCTTCCATGTCACTTTCAGAATCTGTTAAATGTTAGTAAACTATGCGTACAAAGAGAATTCTAAAATCTCTAAAATCTCCGGTAATATCCTGAATAATAATTTCTTCACAAATAGGCTAAATATGTATACAGTACTACAGTGGCTTACTATAAAACTGAACTGTACACGAGGATATACGTAGTACTCTATGTACGCAGAGTTAGGCTTAAAGGAAGAATATACTGGAATTATTCATCACGCCATTCTACCCAGAAATTTTTTTGTATCACAAGTATTAGTATTACAGTTATTCGTCTAAGATAGAATTTTGTTTCCCTTTCATACATAATTGTATAATATAAGCGTTTTGTTTACAATTCAATTTTTTTCATTAAACTTAGTAGCAGTATTTTTGGCTGTTTGTTTCTTCGTTCCTATCTTACAAAGACTGCCCTTCACACAAAAGTAAAAAGCTGTGTCTTGAGGAGTTTAAGAAAAACCCAAATACGTTTACCTTTAAGTAAACCATTTGTCATCTTACATTAAAACAGATATACTATAATTCTAAATAAAATGCTCTTTTACGCTCTTCGAATTTTTTACAAGATATTTGTTAATATGTATGATATATATATACAAAGAATCATTTTCCCTTCGACAACTTAATTTTTGTATTTATATAACTAACGTTTAAAAATGATTACTCTTGCTTTGCCATACTCTGTGTTGTGGGAGGAGGAGTGGCACTATGTTCAGCATATATATATACACACACACACACACACACGCGCGCGCACAAACATTATTCCATATTTTTATACAATTTTCCTGCTTTTTACTACTTCTCCCATATACATCAAGAGAACCAATATTATCAATATTCTTACATTTGTTATTACAAAAACTTGTCTCCTTTATATTCTTACAAAATTTGATGAAAATGAAAGTGATAAAATGACGGCGCAGATGATTACAATAATATTAATATGAAAAATAATATAAATCAGTAATAATTATCATAAATTTTATAATAATAAGTAGCGATTCATTTAATCACTAAATATGTATATGTACTATTAAACCTTAATCACTGGTTTCACACTCATAAATTATAGTAGACAGTGAAGTTATAATCGTCACATGCCAGAAAAGAGAAGTTAATATTGGAACAAACGTCCATCTGCTTGTTGAAGATGTTATTATTGACAACAGTAATTACAATTATTACAAGTGTTCTCTTTTAAAGTAAACATGTGAGCTCGTTCTCTTTAAATATGAAAATAATTTTAACGCATAGTGATAAAATAGACAAGGTTAAGAAATAAAGAAAAATATTATATGAGCGAAAATCTATTTATTTACACCTACATGAGATTTATATGTCACAATTAATCTTCAAAAAATTATAATAGACATAAGTATTATTACACTAAATGTACTTTCGCGTAATAAAGAACATAACTACACATGCTTACTAAAATAGTGTGATTTTTAAAAACGAAAAAGTGTTTTGCAATATCATTAAAATTGTATAATAATATAGTAGTCACTTTTCACATAAGAACTTTGTTATTTACAAGTGATTTCTTACATTTACAGGAGAACACTTGTCTATATGTTTCTTATCCACACTTCTTATGAAAAGTGTCAAGAGTGTTCAAATCCCATCAATTTAATTGATTAATAATCCAACCCATTCTATATACACACATACAATTTAGAAGAAATTTAGTGCTTTCCGTTCTTTTGTCCAATTCTGATTTTTGTTCAAATTTTGATACAATATGCCCTATATTTTGTTCCTGCGTACATGATGTTTTAGTGAAAATTTTGTAACACGTTTTAAGTTTCATAAATATTAGTAAAAAAGCAAATACTTTTTTTGATTAACATTGTTCCTCAGCAAAGATTCGTCTATACTACAGATTTTAAATTAAAAAATCTTGCTTTTATATTAGATCAAAAAGGCCACTGTTCAAGGCCACAGGCCAAGAAAATTAATTAAAGTTAATTAACGAGAAGAATTTCCATTTCTTTATTTCCGTTAATTTCCATTTTCATTCGTAATTCTTAAAGTCAGTAACAGCATTCTCGTTCGAACATCTTGTACATTGGAAGATATTTCTGTCGAGCATATTGATATTGTGTATGCAAATTACCATACATTTGTCCTTTATACATTTGACATTTATACTTTCACACTTCAAACACATTTATGCATCGAATGATGCAAAGCGTAATTTCAAAACGTCTCAAAATTGATAAAAGCTGAAAAATATAAATCAATTATTAGACTTGATTAAAATTTCAAATCTACAACAAAAATATTGATTACGTATAATACACAATGAACAAGATGTGAAAGTGTTAAATACTTCTCATAGTATATATGAATATACAAAGATGTTTTGTTTTACGCTTTGTTGCTTTTAATATATTTTTTTAAATATACTTCTTTTACAAACAAATTTGAACATAGATTTTTATAATCATAATTCATCATTCGGTGCTCCAACTTAAAGCCATAAGTTGTGATATAATGAATATAATTTATTCCATAATAGCCCGTACTAGCAAACTCACCGAAGTTTCACGTAACTCGATGAAGGTTGCATTTCGGTATATACTGATTAGTATCCAAGTGCCAACCTTTTGTTAATGCACAAGGATAATGTGTAACGGCTTTACAACCTCGTTTAACGCAACCAATGTTTGCTCCTGTTAAACCACAGGAATCACATATCGACTTTGCTGCATCCCATACAGCTTCTTGCAAACCTGTTACTCTACCGCCTATAATGTAAATCATTCTTTTCAAAAATCTTATAACATCATACGTTTTAAATTCAATCAAATTTTTGTATAGAAGTTAATTAGAAGAAATTGCTATTTATTGTACCTGCCATGTACACTCCAGCTGCCCAAACAGCACACTGTTCATGAAGCCAAACCTCCCAACGTTGTTCTTCTCCTGGGAGTAAAGTCATTCCCGTAAACATGGCATTAGTATTACTTTCAATGGAATTCCTTTTCTTTTTACCCATTTTTGCAGTAAACTGGTCGGCTAATCCAGCGTACCTCAAACTTCTTTTATTCTTACCACCTTTTTTCTGTTCTGTAGTAATCTCTTGTTCATCAGCTGAAAGGATTCCATCTTCTAAACGTTCTTTACCAATTAAATATGGTCCAAATAAATCACTTAAAACACCAGCTGGAACCTATAATTTGATAAACAACGTTATTCAACAATATCACTTATTATAATTAACTTAAGGAACGTTTAATACAAATGCTAACATTAATGTCATAACATACAGTATAAGTTCCAGGTGCTATGTGAGGACCAGCTAGATTCGGATGCGGTCGAGAAGGATCCCCAGGTACAACAGAATGAGGACCTTGTTTACAAAATACGCAAACCCATGTGGAATCTGTTGTATGTGCGTCATAACGCGAGGACAACGTTGAACTAAAGAGACCCGCTCTACTGACTTTACCTATATAAAATATATAATAAAAATTTCAAATATATGTTACTATACAATTTTAAAATCGATTTGATATTTACAAATATTCATTGAACAGATATTTAACGGTTAAAAATACATACCCCTGTAGTCCAAATCGTTTTGATGACTGAGTCTCTTACTTCTTCCTGCACTACCATTTCCAATACTCTTTCGTTTTTCTTTACTTTTTTCTTCTTCTTCTTCCCGTGGTGCATTAACTACCTGAATGCTCAATGGACTGTCCCTTGGACCTTCAACATGAACTACTGGTCCACGAGATCTAATAGAACTTGCATTTGATCCAGAATCATATGCCATTTCTCTTACTCCATCTACTTTTGTATTTTTCTTTGTCTTTTTCGAAGTGTCTTGTTTTTTTGAACTCTTAGACATTCTCCTTTTTTTGATTTCCTTTTGAGGTATATCATTACCGACAGTTCCAAAAATATTTTCAGAAGATCTCGACATTTTCCGTTTCCCTCCCTGAACTTTAGTTTTTTTTCCTTTTTTTCCAGATAATTTTGTATGAACCGTTGATGAAACATCAGTAGGATTTACATTCTGCGTTTCTTTTGTATGTAAAACATTATTTTCTAAATTTTCCGTTTTCGTTAGGTTGCCAGTCTGAAGGTCAGGTTCTCTTAGGTCTGATTTTGATTCTTCTTTTTTGACTTCCGTCTCCGTTTCAACAATACCCGCAAACATCTTTTCAAGTTCTGATTCAACTTCATTAAATGAATTTGTATTATTTACAGGTTTTGGACTCATTACTTTTGAAAATTCAGTCGCATCATCGCTGGATTTTCTTCTAATCCTCTGATTTGATGGAGTTGAACTAGGAGGTGTACTTTCACTACTTCTCCGCCTTCTAATTGGTTGATTTTCTTCACTTCTTTCTTCTACACTTTCCTCTACTTTTTCAGGTATTCTCTGTTCCGTTATGTCAGTATTATCTTCTAATTTTACAACTGGAGTTGCATTTGTTGCTTCTTCTGGTACTGGTTCACTTGTTCTAGGTTCTGTTGGTTCAGTAGGTTCTAATTCCATGTCCTCTACTTCCGTTTTAGAATCTTTACTAAGCCGTACAGGCTTCTCTAACTTTCTTTTTCTGCGTTGCTTAGTATTATCATTAGAATCATCATTACTGAATGCTGGAGATACAACCTCATCTTCCCTATTTGGAGATTTAGACTTTTGTCTATCAGGAGACATACTTTTAACACTTGATGTATCTTTCTCTTCTACTGGCATTACAATAACAGATCCAATATTTTCTGCACTGCCAAGCTTTTTATTTCCTCCTTCTAATTTCTCTAAAAGAGAATCCACACCCTTCTTACCTCTTTTTGGTAAATTCTTAGGTGATCTTACATTCGTTTCTTCAATTTTCCGATCTCGTTCTGAAGACGATTCTCTTTTTGGACTATCAGTTACATCTTTGTCCATTCTAGATGTAAGATTCACAATAACAGGCAAAACATTTCTTGGCACTTGTGCAATAACACTTAATGTATCTTTAGTTTTTGTAACTTCAGGCTCTTTTTTCTCTGAAATTACCCTCTCAATTGTTACACTAGGTGGTAAATTTATAACTTTTTGCGTGAAATTATCTACACTCATTTCTTTAATCTTATCATGAAGATTTGCCACACCTTTTAAATTGCTTTCAAAATTTTTTACTGTTATTTTAGGTGTTGTAACTTCTTTAGTTGAGAGTGAAACTGGTTCACTAACAGAATTAGGTGTTGGAACTGATGAACTAATTCCACTATCCGATGAAGTTTCTCCATTCAAAGGTATTGGGGGAGAAATTATATTTCCATTTCTACTACCCTTATCTACACTTCTTGCAGTCAAACTTATTGGGATATCTTGAGGTATTCGAGAATAATTTTCAGGAATAATTTCAGATGTAGAAGATAAATCTAATGTACTTTGTGAACCTGGTGAATTTCTATACTGACTTTGATTCTGCCTATTATCTACTAGCATTTGTAAACTAAACAAAGGATTTCCGGGTGTATTGGCTGGAGTAACAGTTTTCGATGGAACCGTCGGTGTATGCCATGTTGGAGGTGCTTGTGTATGTGCAAGTTGTGGTGTAAGTTGTGATGTTAAATGAGATGCTCTAGCCATAGATGGATGTGTATAAAATCCAGCTGGACTTAATGCAGCACCTGACAAAGCTGTTGGATGAATATTCAGGCCTGAAACTATTAAAATTACTTTCAGTATGTGATATTTATTGCTTCATATTTGGAGTATTAATAACACTTACAAAAAGATTTTTAAAACATTACCTTGACCTTGTGTCATTGTAAGGTGATTCCAAACTGTCTGAGGTGGAGGGGTACCAACCGGAGGTCGGCTATGACCTGGATATTGTCCTGACATTTCGAAATTCTCCCAATTACTTAATGTTGGTTTCCAAGTACTTGTAAAATATGTGTACTTTGACTTATTTGTCTGTTCCTCTGAACAAAATTCACTTTTAATATCTGTATCTTTGACATTCAGATGTGAATGTGTAAAAAACAGATCAGAATTTTTTTTCTCACATAGAAGTAATGAAGTTTTAGCACACAATTGTTTATCATGAGCAAGAACACTTTCTCGCTCTAAGTATTTGTTTGATATAAAATTTGAGTGTGCTTCTAAATTTTTACATAATTTGTGTCTTGGAGCTTTAAGTAACACTTTATCTGATTTTAAATTATGAGACAAATCATCTAGATCTGAGAATTTCAATAAACCATAATCTATTTCCTTGTACTTTATGTTGCAGCAATTTTCTATGTTACAGGAATAATTTGCGTGATCCAAAATGGTAGAGTCCTTTAAAGATGTCTTTATGTGTGATAAATTGTACAGCTTCTTTTTATCTTCACTTTGTTTATTGCAATAGCTTTTATTATTTTCCAAGTTTTTTGCTAAATTAAGTGGTTTGTCTTCTTCAGAAACATATAAAAGGTTACAAGTATTTTTATAGTGTTCCAAAACTTTAGACAAAGCTTTGTATTGTATAATATTTTGTGTGTTCAGTTGTTCTGACAAGCAAGAGAAACAATCAATAACTTTATGATGATGAATTTCCTCTTTTGTTTTGTCCAAATTGTCAGTTTTATGTTTGCAGAATGAATAGGTAGCTGTGGTTTTGTTAGTACTGAATAAATTAGGTGTTTTTATTTCACTATCGTCACTGTGACAGGTACTATAACTTTCTGTGCGATTTTTAAGCACAAGTTCTGAGAATTCTGATAAGCATTTATCAACTGTTTCCTTCTGTATATCAGAATTTGATGCTTTGTTGTTGTTTATTGGTTGTAAGAAGTTTATAAATTGATTAACATATGTTGAGTTTAAATCTGATACATTTATATTTTCTTCTTTGTGACATAAACCATATATATCTGACACACCACCATGTGCTACCAATTCTTGTATGTAATCCCACTGCATGAAATTATTTGATAGCGCCCATTTTGGCGCAACTCCAAGTATGAATGGCCCTGCAAATGAAAATTTTAATTGGAAACTGAGTACAATTATGGTTTCTGATTTTATAATCAGTAGTTTAAGGTTTTAGTTAAAATATAATCTAATTTAAAGATTTAAATGAACACAAAAGCTAATATTGCATTAAAATACAAACATTTTAAATAATTTTCTTTCCTGCAATAAATTATATGTGAAAGAGGTGCCAAAAATTATGTTTACCATTACTGGGAACAGCCCATGTGTTTTGACAAGTTATACCATAATACTAATTTAAAATATTTACGCTTTGTGCATTAATATGATATATATTTTGATGAAATGGATGTTTATTCAATAAGTAATGTAAATTGGAAGTTTTGTTTCTTACTTCTTGTAATATGTGATTACAAGTGTTTTCAGCTTCTGAAATTATTATAAGAGAACATGTAAACAATATAATAGTTTTTTGAAATAGTAACTGCATATTTAATTGTTATATATTATTGTACTAGATGTTAAATTAGTAATTAGGACAAAAGTCAATTTTAATTGTCATTAATGTTGCTCTAATAACTAATTTGGATGATAATGATAATAAACAAGAATATGTACAAAATATTATCAATAATAAATATTCAAATATATAACTTTGTAACACTTCATAAAAATATATATGAATCTACAACTTATACTTGTAAGATGCAAAAAAATTACTTAAGCATTAAATTATTTGATTTTAAACTAAAACTTTTTAATATCTTCTATTTTAAAATGTTTCTATATGATTTATACATTTTACAAAGCGCAAATCCTTTTTACAATGAAGCTAATAGTTACACTGTTTACATTTCCAAATGGTGCTTGTCATACACTTTTACAATTCTCAAATATTATGAAAATAATATTACATTATTGATGGTTTTACTGCATTTGCAACATTTTTACTACAGCATTGCTTCATATCATAATTCCAATTTCAAAAATTTATGAAAACAGTTTAAAGGGTGAAAAATGTTTTTACTTTTCCAAAAGCAATATAATTCTAGCACATAATTGAAAGAACCCCTTCACAATGTTTAAACAAGGTATGTAAAACTTCTAAAACACAAAACATTCGAAGTCCGTGGCGATTTACGAGTGCGAATGAGAAAAATATCACAGTATTTGTCAGAGTGTCAATGTTGGTACATTCAAGAATTTTAAAAGCACTAAGCTTCGTTTATTTTGAAAATTTTTCATTGTAAATTTAATGCTATAGCTTTTAAAGGAACTGTCACACCGGGAAAAAATTCTAACGGTTTCCACACAAGCACGATGTAAGAAATAACACTGTATTTCATAGCCGATGTTATCCACGAGGGGAGCAGTGGGCATGCGAGTGGTTACACTGTGTATCTCGCTTTCCTCAACCAACAGCGTGATAGCAGGACAGAGTTCGCGTGCTTTTTCGTGAATTCCGATGGCATAGAGTGTGCGTACATGTACCGCACCAGAGCACGCAGATCCACGAAGAAAGCACGTTAACCAAGCCACGCATATACACCCATAGAAAATCCACACGGGCGCGCGTATGCATACATATATCAATGACGTGCGTTCGCGCGTGCACACACCTAGGCACACACAACGTGCAAAGCGTGAAAAGAAGACGTCTAACCCCGTGAAACTGCACGCACACACAACAATGAAACAACGAACAGGGATATAGTTCCCGCACCTCGACAGTATTGTCGATAACGCGCGAGCCGCGTGTGCCGACACGCGGAACAACGTGCACTTATTCAAAAATTGCAAGTTGTGTGATCTCTATTTGACGCCCTAATATCTCACTCCCGGAACACTTGAACAATTGAACTTTTCACTTCAGACAACAGGATCTAGGATCGACAGATTGCATGGTGCGCGAGACAGACGCGTTACATTGTACCGGCACGCATGTACGCACGTACCATGCACAATTCAGGCAGCGCACACAACACCAACACCCCGACAAGACGTACGACACGGACATGGGTGCCTCTTTCTTTCGTGTAAATCGATGGGCACACTCGATTTCACTGGCTTTTCCCGGTGAGCCTTTAATTGCGAAACATGCCACTGACGGTCGTTATGGTTTTAACATAGTCACGGGATTACCATGGGATACGCACCTTCCGCACAGGGCCCTTGCCAGGGGCTGGCGAATTTACGATTTTCGGTCAAAAAATCGTCGGGGCATCAACCAAAGCAGAATTTCAACAATGGTGGCTGCTAGCGAGCGAGCCGCATGCAATGCTGACACCTCGCGGTAGCGACGCGAATTACGTTTCTATCTTATTCCCTCTTTTATTAGCCCTTCTCACTCATGTATTTGCAATCATACATTCTCCCTTATATGCGTATCTCTTTTTTTCACAAATTGTTACTACTATTTTTCCATATAATAATTAAAACGTTTAACAATTTAATTTCAATGCAGAAAGTATTGTTTGTTAAAACTTTTTCAAATACAGAATACTATAAAATGCATTATAATATACAGAAGGTGGATCACATAGTAACATACAAGATAGATATACGTATCTTTAATTTTGTTTGTTAAATTCCAAGTTATAAAATATATCGTACTATTAATAATGGCATTAACAATATCTAAACCAAACATATTTAATTATTTTATAACATAATACGTGTAAGTAAAACTTTGCTCATCCGTTTAACAACATTCTTTGTGATTATTTATAAATCCATGTTTAAAATATAATTAAAACTTAGAATACTACTTCTTCACTAAAAATCATATTTAGAATACTATAACTATTGTTAATATGAATCGCGCTTGAAAACTCAAGGCAACCCTTAACACCACCTACATTTCTGATCTATACCTATAAGATTTTCTTTCATTAGAATTCTGCCCATATATTCGATACACTATGTAGGAGCGCGATTGCATATTTTATTCGAGAAACTAAGCATTTTACGGTAATTATTATCAACGTAAATTCATATTTTATGTATTGCATTCCTTTCTCCTAATGTAACATAAATTCTTTTTAAGAATTGAATATTTATTCCTACGAACTATTTTACTATTTCTATTTTTTTCTTTCATTTTTCTAAATTCATTATTTTTATTTCCCTAACACTAAAAAAATTATTTATTTAAA